ATCTCACACCTCACGAATATGCCACCTCATACACAGCACCATCTCGCTACCGGCGCTAACATATCATCATCTACTAGCACCACCTACATATCCCAAGCAATGGGGGTTCACACTCCACTAGTTTTGAGATTTTCGCCGTTCACAACCACCATTCAGAGATGTCCGTAATCCAAGTGACCACGTCCGTACCACGGGCTGTCGTTGGAGAACTATCAGTAAACCCCTGGGAACTGTGACTGTGAGTGTTAGTGCTGACGGTGAGCTTTCCAGTAGCCTTGATTACCACGGACGTTGGTTAACTAAACCCGGTATACACAACGAACTCTTCTTCAAGAAAAAGTGCATAGTGACATTGTGTTATCATCAAAAGGTTGTCCATGACTGTTACTCCGCTTCCAGGAACTTTTTTTTTTGTTTTTAAAGTGTTCTCATATTTACATAGTAATTTTTTTTTTTATTTTGTTCAGTTGTTTTAAATTTTGGACTTTTAAATGAATTGTGATCATATGTATTTTAGATTTTAGCGTTTTTATATATTTTACATTTTTGTTAGTAAACTTATTTTAATCGCCGTGGGTCCGGCGATTTTTCGAAGAGGGGGGATATGTCACATTAGATTTTTTGAGTTTTAAAGTTTCGACATTCCTCTCTTCGGGAAATGGCCTAGCCGCGAGTTACGGCGGGAGACCGGGGAGACCATAATGCTGAGCTTGCCATAGATTGATGAACTGTGATTTTGCAAGCTCAGCACGAGGGAGTCTTCCTGGGCTCGTGCCGGAGCTCCGGAAGGCAGAGTGTGTGTGGTGGCCCACGGCGACAACACGAGTAGTAGGTGAGTAGTTCCTTTTTTTTGTAAATTTATTTCGGTTATTTCAAATAAATAGATCTTAAGTTTTTTCTAAAATTTTTGAAGTTTTATTTTTTTCGGAGTGTGGGTTCTTTTTTTGAAGATTTTTGGGGGCACGTGACAATACCTTTTACCTAATTCTACAGATACATTAGCTTATGGACACGTATTTGTATCATCATAGGTACGTTCATGGACAATGTTGAATAAATCGGTATTTTTTATTAGCATTGAAGTAATAAATTAAGAAAACAATAATAACAACTACGATAATAAACGTAAGAATAACAATAATAATTTTTAATTTATTAACTTGTTGAATAAGACTTGAAAACTTTTTTCTGAATTTTGGATATTCTTCATTGAATATATTTAAATTCTTGAATACAGTACTTTCCATTTAATTTACAATTTTTGAGTTTTTCCATTTATTGCTCTCATATTTTTAGTACTACTCTCTCAAATATTTTGAGAGTTCTTTTCTTTACATCATCGATGTTTGATGGTATTACTACTGTTTTGTTTCTTAATTCTGCTAATTTCTTAGGATCATAATTATTGTAGTTGTCTAATTTATATTCCAATTCATCGATTTTATTATTAGCGGATTCTAGTTCACAGTCTGTCATAATTAATGGTTCAAGGAACAAATTAGCTGTTTTTCTTGCAATATATTTATCTACTACTTCTTGTTTGAAACCAACTATTTTTGCTCCATCTTCTAATCTGTCTATTTCAGTAATAATAGGTTTTAAATCTTTTTTCCATTTTTCTTTCTCATCGTTGGGAATGTATGAAACTAATTTGTCCATTTATGACTGAAAAGTTTCTAAAGATTTACTAATCAATTTATCTGCTTCTTCATCTAAACTTATATGTTTACGACTACCTGCTTTATGTTCTACATTATCGAATATTTTTTTATTTTTTATTTTATTTTTTCTCTCTTTTCTTCCCAATTGTTCCGATTTGTTCTCTTTTGTCTCGGATTGTTCCCGTTTGTTCTCATTTGTTCTCGTCTTACATGCAATCTGAATTCCAACTGAACTTAATCCCATATTTAGGGAATTTCTAGAAATATTTTTAGATTTGCAAAATTCTGTCTTTGTTAGTTTTTTATTTACAGTCGAATTGAGATATTCAATAGCAAAATTACGATTTCTCATTTGAGTTACTTCATTGATATTTTTTGGTATATTTAGTTTTTTATCTTGGGTAAAAGATTTGTGACTATTTTTAAATTGCTGGAGGTCAGATTGTTGTCTTGTTTTTAAAGGTGTATAATATTCTGCTACAATTTTGTTGTCTTTAGTATTGGTCATTTCTTAATTTATTGTAAAAATTTTATTTAGTTGTGGTATCTCATGTTTTCTTTTTTATTTCCAAATTGTTTGCATATAACAGGAAACGAAAGTTTGTTAACAATTTGTCAAAAAAAAAATCCAGATTTTCGTTTCCGCTGTTGAACAAGCGCTTAAACGTAAAATTTGTCGAGAATTTAGTATAAGACTTTTTTATTCAGATTCTCATCCTTAATCATCTATCAAAGTTCGAAAGGTCATACTGGAATCAACCTGTATAATATGCCACTACATATCCAGCAAGCCATTGATGATGATAGCTATTAATTGTGATAAAAAAGATTTTTCAGTTTACTTTTTTGTTAGAATATAAATCGGTATTTTGAACATGCAACTTCAACTAGTTTGTCATGCTTTTAACAGCTTGAAAATTTACCTTTAGATTAATTCCTGTTTATAATTAGTGTATATACAGGGTCGATAAAAAGTGTGGATACAGTTAAATATTAACAAAACTTGTTGAAATTTGGTACATGGTTAAAAGTATTAAATTCCATCATCTAGGATGTTTTTCAAATTTCCATCTTCATTTGTTCTGGGGATACAAGTCTAACTTGATTTTTTTTTAATGGCATGAAGGGTCAATTTTAATATTTTTGATAAGAAAATTTTTTCTGAGTTCTGTGATGCATAATTATCTTATTTTAATCGAAACTTTTAAAAAAATTATCGAACAAAATTTAAAAAAATGTAAAATTTTGTTAGCACTTGGAAATGTTGTCTTTATCTATCTTTAGTTCTTTGCCGCCTGAACGTTGACCAATAAATAAATAAAAATTAATGATAATTGTAAAAATAACACATTTAACTGAAAGAGAACCCATTTTCTTTTACTTTTCCAGAATTGTATCTTTGAATTTTTATTTATTTATTTATTTTTCATAAAAATAAAGATGGGCATGTGTTACATTAATGAATTCAGAAAAAAATGTGTTTTTTTTTAATAACAAATCTGATCGCCCGTACCATTTAAAAAAGTTAGCCTTGCATTTTCAAAATAATTGATGGTAAAAAATTGAAAAAAAAACTCCAACTGTATCCTACATTTCAATGAGCTCTGCTAAACCGTTCTGAAAATATTTAGCTGTATCCATACTTTTTAGCGACCTCTATGTGTAATATTTCTTTATGATCTTAATCTTTCTTTATGTTAGATCCAATAATATGAGTTCAAGAAGTACACCTACGCTGCGACCAAGGCCGCAGGTGAGTTCCGGAGAGACGCAAAGAAGACGGAGGAGCGTTAGCGAGACAAGAGCGACGACATAAGAGAAATGATATAGCAAGGTATTTAATGAATAATGTTAATGAGAATAATATATAATATGATATATTAATGTAACTGAACAATAAAAATATATATATAAAAAAAAAGTATATGTTCTTCATTTAACAAAAATACTAATATCTACTTTTCTAAACAAAATAAAATGAGAACAAGTGAGGTCCACATCAGTTAGGGTGAGAACGTGTTTAGTAGCCTTTCTCGTTGTTCATTCTGCTGTTGCAATAATTTTTCTAAACGGTTAAACTGCTCCCTCCTCTCTGTTCTGTCATCTTCATGTTGCGTTTGCATCAGATTAATTAATTGGACATTTGAAGTGGATGACTTTCTAATCTTGTTCAATGAGAATCTATTTTTTATCATTTCTTTCTTTTCTTGATCACATGACGAAGGCGACTGTGGGGCTAATAGATCATCAGTTTCACTCTCTTGTACTGAACTACTACTACAGGCTTCTAGAGTGTCTTGTAAATTTTTGGGGTCACTTTTGTGTTTATTGCTCATGATACCATGCATTTCTGAAAAGAATGGCGGCGGTTCTTTTTTTTCTTCGCCAGTCCGTTTCATATGCGAGACATGTTTCATGTATTGCTTCTGGAGGTTGGAAAACTTCTGTCGTAGTTTCTCAACTGCATCACGTTCAGTGCCCACATCAAATCCCAATGCATACATCTCACGAGCAATTTTGCCCCATAATTGCGTTTTCACATGCTTTTTGTCATCAAATTCGTGGGCATATTTTTGGCGTAATTCCAGGAATATTTCTGTAGCCTTACTGTCTTTTACACTTGGCCTTTTTGTTGACCACACACTGATGACACCAGTATTACTATCTGAGTGTTGTGCATTTTGTTGTTCGCTAATAAGATGTTTTCTCAAAGTCATTTAATAGATAAGGTTGCCACATTGGGATGCCATATTGATACGTCACAAGGGGCTCTCAAATGGCGCGAAAATTGCCCGTTTTAAATACTCGAGTAACGCACTAAAAACGGAAACTTTTAATCAAGTGACCGCTTCTACTTCGCAAATTTCAATCCTGTGTAAAGAACAATTTAATAAACCTCAAGAAAAATGTTTTGCTGCCAGTAGAACTTGAAAATAACAAATGCGACACTATTAACTGATTTTTTTTATGCAAAAAAATCTGAAAATCTGCATTTACTGGTTTACTTTTTCCTTTCTAGTAATATATCAAAACATTTCATTTTAGCTTAAACACAAATAAATTTAAACACGAGGCAAAATGGGGTTACACGAGTCGCAGTACTAACACCAAACGTCAGAATTAGCGGTACAGATCGTACAGTTTAAAGGCATCAGCTGATCGGTCACACCAACTCAAAATTACAAGTTACTAAAAATTCCCAAGTAATACCAACCTCATTTTGACGTCACATGGGGCTGACACCTCTCCTCCCCCGTAAGCGATTTTGCCCACATACTCGTTTATGTGGTAACCTGTTCTCTATTAACTAACCTTGATGTTTTCTAACATAGTTTGAAGCTGCCTCTGGATCTAATTACAAAGATAATAATTATTATTGTTATGTTTTACAACATCAACACTCACCATTCAACAATACATTTGCAGTTTCCAATCTGACAAATGCTAAAAAATCCTCCCCCTCGTGATTTATCGAAATTTCAACCAACTTCTCTTCACCCATTATTGTCGGTAAAATCTTACAACATGCACCATGTAACCTCACTTTTCATAACCGCTATTTTGTAACCCACCTCTTGAGCAGGGTTACTGAAATCATAACACGGTTCTAAACGATGACGGCTTTCTATGACATCACAACACCTTCCCCTCAATTACCGTATGTCGCAAAAACGGACCGGTTAAGTAACCGTTGTGACTTTCACTTCAACGCGAACTCGCGAAAAAAAGCCTTTAGCAATACAAACACGGCATTCCCCTATATTGGTTTGATGGAAATTAACTAATAAAATTGATGAGTTCCGTTTCCTAATTGAAAATTTACTTTTTTTTCATCAATTTAACTTTATAACCTCTAGTTTAGCTGAGTGTACCGAAGTATACAGAAAACACGACTCACACGTGACATTATTAACACAGAACTTTTGATTACTACAAACCACAACCTGCTAGATGTAAGTGCGTCTTAGCGGCTCTTCAATATCGCAAATTTCATTGTTTTTTTGACTTCGGGGATTCGCAATTTTTTCCGTTACGTGGCGCTCGCACACACCAATTTCTGTCAAACTGACAAGCCGAGTGACACTTGAGGTTCGTTTGTTTTTGAAGCGTCATTCGACACAAAAAATCTTAGGTTAGGGTCTCCTTGTCATGTTAGCGTCATTTGATGGCTTCCGGTGTGTACTCGCGACATCTACACCGTGTTGTGCAGGTTGAGCGGGACGTAATACGTTAATAGACGCATTTTCATCTAGCAGGTCGTGCTACAAACATTTCCCTGCAAAACCTTTTATTATGCTATAGCGAATCTATGAGCTGCGTTGTCAGATCATTCGTTATGTCTGTCTATGTGTCTGTCTCGTTACGTGTCTTCGTCTTTATGCGTTTGTGTTATTATATGCTTATTTTTACAGCTTGCTACGTGGGAAAGCAAATATAACGAGGCACACGCAACATTAAAAGAAGAAAAGGCTTCATTAATGTCTGTCTTAAAAAAAATGGAGGTTAATTTTAATACTTATAATAATGATTTGAAACAACTAAGAAAAGATATTACTACTAATAATAATGAAGTAAAACAATTAAGAAAAGATATTGCAAATATTATTAGAAGTGAAATAGCGGCGTTGGTCAAGAATGAAGTTAAACAGCAGATGAAGAATTTAGAAATTATTTCTCAAGTTAAATTTAAAGATGAAACAAATAATGAAGCAAATTAATTTACGTAATAAAACATTGGATATCTTTAGCAGTGTTTCAATTAATACACATTTAGTATATTTTCGACTTTTTTCAGCTATTACACTTACAGACGATGTAAAATCATAACAATGCGTAGTTTATTACCAAGGATTTTAAATAAGTAGACAGGATTGCTCGATCGCTATACCTTGTGTATATGTCGCCCCACTCCTACCTATCGTCCGTAGTGACGTAGCACGCAGACCTGAGTTGGAAGCAGCGATGTGCAAGTTAGTACTTTGGTACTAAAACTAGTACTTTCCTTAGTCGTTTAGTACTCTAGTACTCATCCAAGCAATTCTAGTACCTAAAAGTAAGTAATTTGCTGTATTTTATTTCAGTCGCAAAATGAAAATTGCTATCTATTTCTATTTACTATATGTCTCTCTCTTACTGTACTGCATAGGAAAAGGAGCTCTTTGGAAGTGCCGTGCGTTCGTGCGTACGGGCCATAGAAAATAGCGTAAGCGTAATGTATGTGGTTTAAAACTTTACGTCAACGCGTTCAACCTGCGTTCAACGTGTTGGTTCAACCCATAACCTCGCAACTCGCACTGTGATAATAGGTATGAAATAAAGTTAAAACTTCTGTTGCAAAATGGATAGGTAAAATCAGTGATTTTTATTTCAATTTGACTATAATAAAATAATTTTATATCAGATTTGTGATACGTACCAAGAAACCTGAGACTGAGAACCAAAATGTTGAAATTGAAAGTACGGAGACTGATGACACTCAAGAGTTGCCTAAGGAATTAGAATTATTAGAAACTAACACAGAAACTGCAGAAACTGATTGTGATGAAGACAACAATAATTCACGTAATATAAAAAAGCGAAAAATTTATACGCAGAAATTCAAGCATACCTGGAAAGAGTCATTCAAGTGGGTCGAAGAAAAAAATGAAATAGAATCAAGATGTATTGTTTGTAATGTGACAATAGTTGGGAGCATATCGCACTTAACAAGACACGAAAATTCAAAATCACATCAAATGAAAATGAAAGCAGCGGCGGTAATTCCAAAAGTGGAATCGTTTTTTAAAAAAGCTGAAAATTCTACAGAACGAGTCATAAGAGAAGCGGAATTGAAAATTGTTATCTTTCTGGCAGAACATAACTTACCTTTTTCATTAGCTGATCATCTCACGGAATTGTTTAGTTCTGTTTGCCCCAATTGTACAACTTGCAAAAAGTTGGGATTTAAAAGAAAGAAAGCGACACAACTTTGTACTTCTGTCATTGCGCCTAGTTACAATGAATCAATAATCAGGGAATTAAAGCAAGGCAAGTTTTCACTTATTTTAGATGAAACCACTGATATCGGAGTTAAAAAAAGTTTAGCTATTGTAGTTCGTTCAGTTGTAAATTTTAAAGTTACCGATCAGTTTTTTAAATTAATTGAAGTAGAGTCAAGTACAGCAAATGCTCTTTTTGAGTCAATTAAAAATTCTATATTTATTGAACATGCAATTCCATTTTCTAACATGATTGGATTTGGAAGTGATAATTGTTATGTCATGATGGGAGAAACTAATGGGCTGAAAGCTCTTTTTAAAAAAGAAAATCCAAATATTATTGCTATTGGTTGCACTTGCCACTCATTTGCACTATGTTCTTCTCGTGCTTGTGAACGTTTGCCAAGTACAGTCGAGCAGTTTTGCAGAGATGTATATAATTATTTTTCTAATAGTTCAAAACGCCTTCAAGAATTTAGAGAGTGTGAAATTTTTTGTCAAGAGGCACCACAAGCTCTCTTGCGGCCGAGCCAGACAAGATGGTTGTCACTTGGACAATCTGTAAATAGGATTTTAGATCATTGGAATTCATTAACATTATTTTTTACCAGGGCGGCATTAGAAGACCGCGTACACAATGCACAAACGATTTTGTCTGCTTTAAAAAACCCTGTATATAAGTTATACTTTTTGTTTTTAAGTTACGTTTTAGAAGTAATCAATAAACTTAATTTAGAATTTCAGAGCGAAACCCCGAAAGTTCATGTTTTACTGGAAAGAATAACGAGTTTATTTAAAGTTATTTGCAAATCATTTTTGAAAGCTGACATTTAAAAAAAGTCGAACTTCACAAAATAAATGTCCACAATCCATCTCATTACTTAGCGCCCGATGAAATATATTGTGGAGCAAAAACTGCTGTCTTCATAAGAAATACTTCTAATGAAATAGATAAAGCCGAGTTACGTAATTTTAAATGCAGAGTACTAGAATTTTATATTGAATTATCAAAACAAATTCTACAGAGATTTGATTTTGCAGATCCAATTTTAAAATTTGCCAGAAAATTCGATCCTCATGTAGTATGTAGCGGAGAATATAACAGTATTTCTGAAACGTTAACTATTTTTCCTCAACTTGAAATTGATTTAGAAATATTGGATTTTGAGTACAGATTAATTAGTGAAACTGAAGAGATTATAAAAATTAAGGATTGGGAAATGTGTGATTTTTGGTGCAAGGTAGGAAAAATGAAAAATCGTTTAAATGAATATTTGTTTCCAAATTTATTGAAAGTTGTTACGTGCGTTATGTGTTTACCTCATTCATCAGCAGCGGCTGAAAGAGTTTTTTCGCAATTAAATCTAATTAAAAATAAAACCAGAAACCGACTGCTCATTAAAACATGCGATAGTCTTTTGCAAGCAAAGGCATTGCTGAAATCTGAAGGTGACAATTGTTTTACTTGGCAACCTACAAGTAATATGTTAAATTTAAATAGTTTAAATAACGAAGTGTTGGAAGATGATTTATTTTAGTATTTGTTATGTTTTTGTCGTTAGAAAATTGTTTAATTTTTTATTGTGTAATAAACTTTTGTTTTGAATTTCGCGCTTTTTTTAATATTCTAGTCCCCAAGTGTCAAATCTAGTACCCAACGCATTGCCAACTCGTACTCAAGAAAGTTACTGTTGGAACAACGCTGGTCGGAAGTTTGTCGCTCGACAACAGTGTTTAAACGCGTTTAAACGAGTACTGCTATGATATTTCACTGCATTACTTTAATTAATACTTAATTACAGTTGTTTTAATTCGTATTTTCTTTGTGCAATCATTTGGTTGTACATTTTGCTGGTTAGAAAAAATTCTTTATTAGGTAAATCGTGATTTTTATTCATTTTTTATTTGTTTGAAACAACAGACACAATATTATTGATTTGAAATCTGTTTGAAAATGAATTTACAAAATTCATTTTATATTTTATGAAATGATTAAAAAATATGTAGTTTGTTTTAATAGGGTCCCTACTCAACTTAAGCATAATTTCAAAATGCCGGGAATGCGATGCGCCGTATTCGGTTGCAATAATAGTTTGATTGAGACGAAAAAAAAAGGCCTAAAAGTTATATATCACAGATTTCCTCAGGGAAACAATTTGACTTCTTCTACAATTAGAAATGAGTGGATTCGATGATGTAAAAGGGCCGACAAGATGAATCCTAACACTAGCGTAATTTGTTCTACTCATTTTACGCAGCAAGACTATGAACGAGATCTGCAAAATGAATTACTAGGTTTTAAACCAAGCTTATCTGCAGAAAATAATCGTAAACATAATGCTCTTTTTAAGGTTTGCCACAGAAGAAAATCTTGAAACAAACTGCTGTTCCAGTTTTAAATTTACCAAGTCTGCATAAAGGTACACAAGAACATGGAGACCCTAGTTTTTCCTCTAACCGTGCAAACAGATATAAAAAGAGAGAAAAAAAGGAAGAGGTTGAAAATATTTTAGCGGAACACAAAATACAAGAATCAAAAACTGACATTGAAGAAACTGCAATCCCGGACCGAACTTTTCCCACTGAATTTTTTTCTCAGCCTTCCACATCACACAACAAAGAAGACGATAAGTGATTTCATCAATATAACAACCTAAAAGTTAAATATGAACGCATGGAAG